CAGAATCGACGTGTCCAATGACAACGACATTAACGTGAGTCTTTTCTTTACCCATTTTTATTACTTAAACAATTGATTATTGAAAAGAAAGAAGAAGGAATTAGAAACGTAAGACGAAAAAAAAAAAAAGGATGGAAAATTTTTTGAATAAACGAAAGGAAAATTAAAATCTTTGGGAAAAAAAAAAATTAAAAAAAAAAAAAAAAAATTAAAATTATTTGAAAAATAGAGATTTAAAATGTAAATTAAGAAAGTAGACTAAAAGGAGAGAGCAGCTCGAAAGTGGTGAAGAATAAGGAGGCAAGAGATATTATACCTTGATGTTCAGTGGGAAGAAACACATTGTAAGCAGTATCTTTGTAGACATTAAAGTTACGGTGTTCAATATTGAAGGACACGACAATATGTCCCTTTCCCCTAATTAGGATTAGGATTAGTATGTCGTGGCTAAGAAGATGAAAAAAAAGAAAAAAAAGAAGAAAAAAAAGATAAAGGTTACACAAGTCTTAGTTATGCACTCGTTTCTTAGTACTATTCACGTGCGGTCTTTATTTTTTAGGGCTTTACTCTTCTTCGCTTATGTAATATGCTACCATTTGCACCCAATTCGCTATCTTCAACCTCATTTTCCAACTTTTTTAGTAGACGCTCCTGGTTCATTATCGATTCGGCATCTTCATACCTGACTTGCAGCGATAGATCATCTTCATTGGTAATATCGCAGTCAAATGGATCTTGCCTTTTGTTGTTCTCGCCGTTAGTATCATTATTATTGTTCTTGTTCTTGTTCTTGTTCTTGTCATATACTGATACGTTCAAATTCTCAACAATACTGCCTTCTCTACTTGGTGCGCCTTGTAATTTTCCCTTAATCGATTGCGGTGACCCTCCTGAGAGTCTTCCGTACTTTCGTTTCGGTGTTGTTTTCCGCGGCGAAGGAAGCTTAATCAGACCACCTGCATCACTTTCATAATGTTCATTTACTGATCGTGGTCTCTCATCGGTATCTGTTCTATCGCTCATGCTTTTAATATAATCCATTAAGGATCTTGGCCTGATGTAGTTTATAGGAGCGTAGATGCACCAATTAGGATTGGTCAATTCGGGCATTATCAAAACTGACTTGTACTTTGACACTTCAAAGATTTCCCATATATATCCAATAGATACAATGGGTATATTCCATTTCTTTGAAGCTTCAATCTTATTTTTGGTCGATAAAAGCGATACAGATGATAGTCCTGATTGATAAACGGGACAGTTTAATACATCCTTGTATTTATAATCAAAAAGCTTTGGCGACTTTTCCATGAAGCTGTCCTTAAACAAATTCACATTTAAAATCAAAAGATCTCTCTGGCTGGAAAGTGTATCGCAGTATTCAAAGTTCATAAACCGAATCAATTTTTCAATATGTAGTAATTCAATCCCTGTGAAACCAGATGTGCAAACATTGAACTTTCGTGACGACTTCATCAACCCCTTTATAGGTTGTCCCCAACTGTCCAATACAACTTTCTTGTAGTAGATGCTTCTCTCGATAAAAAGTTCAGTAACCACTTTTATATCACCACTTGTTATTTTCTGCTTCACTTCTGCTGGCAAGGCTTTCAACACTCCCGAAGACTTACTGCCCTTTCGTGCAGGTATAATGATATGGCTAATGGAAGTATCATACATATCCCTTATTATCTCGCCCAGAAAATTCTCAATTCCGTTACTCAACAACTCTGACTCTCTAGGATCAAACCCCATCAAGAGGAAATTGAATCCTAGAAACAAGTTGTTGTTTGTTGTTTCTACTGCTGTGCCAGCAGTGAGCTTTGATGGCTTGATAATATCTTCGTTGACTTCTTCACTCTCGCTCTCTTCATCCCATGCTTTATCTCGTGTACTCTTTTTCACAACATCTTTAGTATGGTCCATTATAGAATTCCAAATCTCCCTGTTATTTAGTTTATTCACTAATTTAGAAGGCTCAGTAGTAGATGTTGCAGTACTTCGAGTGGCTAGTAAGCGGCGTCGATGGTTGTTGCTGTTGTTACTCTTTTTTAACTCATCTACTTCAGCCTGGGGCTTTAAAATCAAGTGCCACATTTTGCATCCTGTGTCATACAGCTCTGTGGAATCACTTTTCAACTGGTAATCTGAGTAAACCATTGCTGCTCCCCTCAATATGCTGTCGAAAACCCAAATTGGGTGCACCACAGGAATTCCCCACTCCAAAGCTTTGCTGTACCTGGTACCTCTTGGGTCAGCACTAATCATGCAGCTCAGATACGGCAGCACTGACTCTTTAGCTTTCCCGCCATTTTCACTTATTATATTTGATAAATTTTTAAAGCTAAAATACGCCGCATCCGCATCTTTAGGTCTAAAATGAGACATTGTGAACAATTGTTCGAATTGAGCCTTTGTTATATCTGTTCGAGATATGGATGCATCTATGTCGCTGAAAATTGGTAATAAATGATTTTTAAGCTGCAACTGAACGTCTTCCTCCCCCATCAACCAGCGCTTGTATATCTTGAAGATGGAATCTGCGGTAAGAAACGTAATGTCAGCTCTATTCCTAACGCAGAAACGGTATTTTTCAGTGTCTCTCTTGCCAACAATTAAATATTGAACATCTGTCATGAGATCGGGATATTCTACTCCTCCCAAGGCCTTAATATTCTTGCTGATTTCAATTCTCAATTTGGCCTCTATCCCAGTACAGCAAAATGTAAGCCCCGAAAATGGGTGTTTGGAAACCATGAGTTATAACGAAAATGGTTTATAATGATCTTAGCGTCTAAACCACATATGGCGTTGCTGTTTCAAAAAAGCTGGGGAAGGCAGTAATGTGGTTAAAGAGAGTGGATTCCTATTCTATTCTACCATCTTTTTTTTTTTTCCTTCCTCTTCCTCGTCCTCTTCTCGTTTTTTGCAATCAAAACACGCGTTTATCACAGAGCAAAGAATATTGCAACATATCTTGTAAAAGTACAACAACTGAAATGACGTATTGCCAGCTTGAAAGCTAGTTATCAAGACTTTATATGTGTGTTAATGTTTAGTTTAGACTACATTTGAGAGCTTTAGTAAAGAATAAAAAAGAAAATCAGGTTCAACTGCTGCCAACACTCTATAAAGGGGAGTTGCATTATTTGTTTTTTTTATTGAAACAAGGTTCAATTGGCATTTATCTTCCATATAGATCTTTTTCTTTTGGTTTTTTTATTTTTTTTTTTTTTCTTCTGCTACCTTATCTCAATCATTGATTCCGTTGTAGTTACCCCCGTCTCGTCGAAGGAACGATCAGGGTCAAATAAAGAATTCATCGAGGATTGAAATGAAGGTGCTGAGAAAATATAAAGACAATTTTGATTCCTGTTTATAGTCCTCGCGGATCTATCTTCTGCGAAACACTGATGTTGCAAAACAGGAATTGCTAGTCTTGTTGTCACTTGTCTCGCAGGTACAACATCGTCGTAATTGATCAATAGTGCCGAACACTCATTCAAGGGTTTCTGGAAATTCTTCTTCTTCTTCTTCTTCTTCTTCTTCTTTTCATGAAATGCACCCTTTTTTGAAAAACGGAGTAGCTTGCGAAGACTTTTTAGAAAAGACCACCCTCTATGTTTCTCTCTGGCGGATTTCTTTTCTTTGACCATAGCATCTTCCTCGATGGGGAAGTTATCTGTAAAAGGGTCTATATCCTCGAATGGATTGTCAACAGAGGCAACCTCCTTTTGAGAGAGTTTTGAGTTGAGACTCACTTTTTGTAGTTTTTGGGATCTTTTAACTTTTTTGAGCATAACAGAATAATCAAAACGCACTTGTTAGAGATCTCCAAGAAAGATTGTTTTCGAAAGCAAAATATGTGATGCTTAAGCTTGCCAAAAACATTTTAGAATCATTAGGTTTACCCTAGGTATTAATATTTGGTTGTAAAATCCAAAAAGGTCAACACACGGGTTTGGCTGCCAAAAAAAGGCAGCAGAGGTAACCTACTTTAGTCAACACCAATCAAATAATAGAAAGAGAATGCATTTCTGTGAAAGAAAAAATAGACTCTAGTATACTAGACAATTATTACTTTGCTTTATGTTAGATCATTCAAAGTAAATCACACCTCAGCCCGTCAACGCACACTGCCTCATACTTATTTTTGTGTAAAAATGGGACAAAATTAAGAACAAGAATTAGAACCAACAAAAAAAAATGTATCATACTTTAAAGTCCTTGTATCGCTATCGTTGATACTAAATACTTTTAGAAGCAATTCGTGTGTCTCTGTACTGACTTGAAAAAGAAAGAAAAAGAAAAACCTGGGCTTGAATGCATTAATAAGAACAGGTTAATACCATGTCTTCAAAAAAAAAAAAGGCCCCCCAGAAAAAAAAATGGTCCCTAGCAGGATCGAACTGCTGATCTTGGCGTTATTAGCACCACGCCTTAACCAACTGGGCCAAGGGACCTTTTCTTGTACAAAAGAATTCTCAGCATATTTAAGTAATAGTAACCAGACACTCTATACTATATGTTCATTGCCAAAGTATCAATATCAATATTAGTCAAAGAGCTTGTATACAATATCACTATTCTTATTATTATAGTATTAATTTTTTTGCACATATTTTTAAATCTTTTTCGTTCATCAATCTCTGCAAATCTCTGCTAATAATGGCCACCTACCAGTCACCTATGGCGTTTAGTCTAACGTTGACACTATTAGGCAGAGCGAGATAGTGGGGCAGCATTATTTGTAAATCTTCTTTTCTAACCACTTTCCCCACGTGCTTTGGTCCATTCACTAGACCCAGTTTGTCTACCTTGTGGAATTTCTGAATGTGAGGTTGTTGGTTTGAATGTTTCAGTTTCATTTAAAAGTTCATGATTCCTCGGTACAATGGCATCATTGTATAGTTGAATCAACAGCTGGTCTTCAGTTTTGTTTTGCATCATACGATACAGATTGTACAATTGCTGTAATTTTTGCCCATTTATCCACCGAATGGTCTTGGCAACTAGGTTTGGGTCAACTATACTCAGCTGTGGAATTTGTTTCTCTTTTGTAATATATTTTCCACTCAAATCAACAACCGAGTTTGCGTTGAATCCAATTACATATGACATTTGTTTACCCCAGTTATTGCAATATAACAAAGGTTCATCAAAGACCGCTTCACATGGGTCCAAGTGAACCCATCTCTTGAGATTATATGAAAAATACTCACACCATACGTGGTCTTCATGATTCATGACATATCTAGTTCTATCCTTTCCTTCTCCAATCAACGCCTCCAAAAGGAGTAAGAATGCATTAACCCATTCGCCACAACGACCTTTCCTAAATGCTAGCAAAGATAGCGGGTTATTGACTCTGGGGAACTCAACTCTTTGCTTACACTTTTCGCACTGGTACACTTCAACAATGGAGATCTTGTGTGGATTACTTGTATTCAGGGGAAATCGTGAAGCTCCTTTGCTTATTACTTTGTCTGACCCACATGGACAATCAGGTGAATTAATCCATTTGAAAAAATCGTGTTTGAAGTATCTCAACAACTCTTTAACAACCAAGTCATCATATCCGAGATTTGGATCTTTATTCTCTTGCTCTAGTTTATCGACATTTTCGTAGATTTTTGCCAAGTCAATTGTATCCAATGCAATGTCAATCGACCTGCTGTCCTTGTGAGCCAACAACACGTTTAAATTTGCATGGATAGACCTGATAACAGGCATGTTTATAATAGCTTTGATTTCTCTTGCATCGTTGCCAACTACCTTTTGCGCCAAAGAAAGTTGTATTCTCGTGTATGCTTTTATTAGTTTATCAGCAAGTTCCTTGGTATCTGCCAGCATACTTTCTTATCCAAAATCTGGCTCTCTTATTTACAAAGATTGTGCAACTAAATTTTTCGGGGTTATATTGGCTGCGAAGGGGTGTTATCTCGCCAAATATATGCTTTTCATGAATTCAAAATTATATAAATATAAAAAGAAAAAATGTAAACTCAAAAAATTGAACTACACTATCTAGTATCGAACGCAGCGAGATACCAGAAAGTCTTTAGTAGTTCTCTGCTCTTGTATCGAGCGCAGCGAGATACCAGAAAGTCTCTAGTAGTTCTCTGCTCTTGTATCGAGCGCAGCGAGATACTAGAAAGTCTCTAGTAGCTCTCTGCTCTCCTACTATCGAGTATCTACTATCGAGGAACACACGGGTTTGATTGCATCATCATCTTCTACCCTAGTAGCATCATCTTCTACCCTAGTAGCATCATCTTCTACTCTAGTAGCATCATCTTCTACTTTATGTTCTCCCTCCTTTTCTCTCTCCTTCTCAATTTTTCTTGGAGGTAAAACTTCATTAAATGCCACGCCCCAGTCCTTAGTTTCGTACCAACGACAACAAATCTCATACACATGTGATGTTACTAAAACATTACGACCATTAAGCTTGATGTATTTGCCAATTGGCAACCTTGCAACTCTCATGCCCAATTCCTTAGCCTTATCAAGACAAAGGTTCTTATACCGATTTTTATCAACTATTCCTCCAATTACATAAGTATGGTTTGGTAGTATTTCCTCAATCTCTTCCTCTGTGTCTGCTGTGAGATAAATAAATTGTTCTTTATTTTCAGGAGTCATCAATTCGGATAAATGAGCACTTGTGAATTCAATTCCTTTCCAGTTTTTAAAATCCAGTAATGATTTCTCATATCTCTCTTGCAATCTTTGATTAAATGATACTACTTGAATAGGTAGATTATACTGACAGTGTCTCATTACGGAATAGCTTGTTCTTATTTGGTTAGACAAGGATGTAATCTCTTTTAAAGTCATTAGTTTATCAAATCCACAATCAATAATCACTTTAACACCGGTATCTATTTTCTTCTCGGGTATTTTCTTTTTGCTAATGCTAATGCTACTACTACTACTACTACTATTACTACTATTACTACTACTACTACTACTATTACTGCTACTGCTGCTGTTATTACTACTACCACTACCACTATTATTGCTACTGCGTTTTTCGTCATTTTTCATTCTCTCTCTTTTTCTAGCTCGTTGTAGTTTCTTCTTCTCTCTTATACTAGCTCTAAGTTCACGCTTTTTTTCTTCCCATTGTAGTTGCTTTTGTTGTTTCTTCCATTCTCTTCGACTTAAACCTTCAGGTATTACTTCGTTTTTCTTTTTTTCTCTTCTAATTTCAATCTCCTCTGCAGTAGGAGGAGATCTACGAACTTTATCTATTCTCTGTAGCAGTGCCATCTTTTTGAAACTACAAGGCCGCAAAGTAAAAAACTCATCAATTGGTTGAGAAGAGGAAGAATAAAGAAGAAGAAGAAAAAAAAAAATTGAAATTTTTATCAATAGAAGCTTAGGAAATCCCATTTTGGTAACTAGTGAGGCGAAATTATAAATAAGAGAAATCTGGTTTTTTTTTTGTAATTTTTTTTTTTTTTTTTGCAGCCAAATGTATTTTTTTTTTTTTTCTCTTCTATTTATATACTTTACCAAACCAATCGATAATGCCGACACCAAATCGAGATAAACCTTTTTTCTCCTTTATTTCATCATTTTCTGGACCAAGATTATGATGATGCTTAGTCCTTTCTGTGTAAGGAGTTATAATTCCCTCTTTACTCTTCTCAGCATTAGCTTCATTAACTTCATCCGTTTCATTGATTCCATCAGTTTCGTCAGTATCCATGTCTTTTTCTTCATCAGATGGTTCTAATCCCATTTGTCCCTTATATCCTTGTGACAAAAGATAGTTTTTAAACCTAATATCCTCTTCTAACAAGTCGTCAACTTTCAAATGTGGAATGAAAATAGCAGTAACAATCACACCAACAACTCCACAACATGCGGCAATGATGAAAACCCATCTCTGACCACTATCTTTATTGCTTCCAATCAACAAAACTCTCTGAAATGCCTTGGTACCACAAACAGCACCGATTTTACCGACAAGTGCACTGATACCATAAAATGTACCTCTCACAGGAGTAGCAAATGACTCACTAGAAACCAACCCCAAAACATTACCCATACCGGCATTACCAAAACTTTGCATCAATCCAAAAAGAACAATGAATAAAGCGGTGATTTTCTTAACTTGAAAATAAGCACAACCAACTATTAATCCAAACACAATATAGCAAATGAATCCAATCAACATGGTATACTTTTTACCAATGATATCTACCAAATAAGCCCCTACAAAACAACCGGGCAAGGCAATGGCACCTAATAACAAATTCCATTCTGCAATTTTCTCCAAGTCCCTTGTGTCTGATATAACATTTGAGATGATTGTAGCTGAAAAGATACCGTTGGGAAACGTTACGAAATCGTACAAAAACCATGAAATACAAGTGCCAAATAATCTTTTCCAGTAAAATTTCAAAGCATGCCAGTAGGGAGGTTGTTTCCTCATTGCTGATCTCTTGAACAATTCTGAAGTAACCATCTTCATCCTAAAATAAAACACAGATAATGGCCAGAAACATCCAATGGCAAACATGGTTCTCCATAACCCTTCAAGGTGAGTTTTCGTAATCTTGTTAACGATTAAGAAAATACAAGAGGCAAAAGGTCCACCAAACGATAAGGGGACATTAGTAACCAATATAAAAGCAGCACCTCTTCTTTTAACTGATTCGTTTGCGGCTTCACTTGCAGCAACTGAACTTGACGGGTACTCGGCACCAATACCAAACCCTGTAACCCCTCTAAAAATCGTCATCATCCAAAACATACCGTTAACAGTTTTTCCATGAGATGCAGCACATAAGGCACTACCAAACACCAAAAAACAAGTAGCTATAAGAATAGCCCATTTTCTACTAATCAAATCTGCACATATACCAATAACAAATTGTCCTAAAATCGTACCAACCAACGAAGCATTGGAGACTTGAGACGACATATCCCCAGTATACTCCTTTGGATACTCCATAGCGAACACTTTATTTAACATAGACATAACATTGTTTTGATACCCATCTGAAATCAAAGCAAATCCAGCACAAAGAATCATCATAATATCTCTATACTGGACTCCTCCGTCCAATCGACGTTTTCTTTCTTCAGCATGATAAACATAATGTTTCTTTTCTGCTGCAGTTGAGGTCACTTCATCTTGTTCAGAATCAACGTGAACCTGTTCAATTATTTTTGTACTTTTATCCGAATCAGCCATTTCACACAATTGACGTTGGAATAGCCATTCAGAAAGACAAAACCAAAGAGATCTAGAGTTGAACAATAAAAAGAAAGAAAAAAAAAAATATAATAATCTCACATATTGACGGAAGAACCTTTGTTATTTTATACCATTGTGTCAATATACCTTGCAAATTCAGTTACATTTGTGAGCACGCGGTAGTGTAACCATTGATGGCTGGAGTCAGAAGTAGCACGTTTGATAAAAAAAAAAAATTAGCTAAAAAAGTTAAAATTTAGATGGGTAATAAATTATGCATTTTAGTAGGACATACGAATATCTAATATTCAACAATCCACGTGGACATGTAAAAAACAGTTGAAAAAAAAATTACTAATTTTCTTTAGAAGATACATGGAAGTTAGGAGAATAGTGAATTGAAACCCGTGTGACATATTGAGGTTGGGGGAAGGGATAAAGGGAGGAGGGACGGAGGTTACAGAGGGAGAAAGAAAGAAAGAAAGAAAGATAGAGAAGAAACTGTTAATTTACTAAATTTGCAGTAACTCAGATTTACGAAATTTTCCGAGAAACCTGGCGAAGTAGAAGCTTTTTTTTTTTTCTTGGATTGAGTAGTTTGACACATTCCATGAATCGTTTTATTTTTCTTAGCACTAAATTAAATTGTTCAACTGAAACATACTTGACCGTTGAGGCTAGTGTGCAACCGCGAGTATGTGCTTGTAAAGTGTGTCTAGGAAAGAAGGGAGGGAAACGGAGAATGGTAACAAAATGTTCTCCAGTGAATTTTTTTTCTCATATAATCATTATTCTCAGAGTTTGACGCGTGAATGACGGGATTACCGATTAGAGGTTTTGAAGCCATATAATCTCATCTAAAGCTTCTTTTTTTTTTTATTCCTCCTGTTCAATATGAGACTATCTCATATATTTATCTCTTTTTTTTTTTTTTTTTTTTTTGTGCAAGCCGTGCATATTCAACATATTGGAACGAGTTGAGGAAAAAAAACCTACAATTTGAAAAATACCATTGAAACTCTTTAGACAAGTCAGGTGAGCATATTCCTTATAGGTAAGTTTGTAACCGAGTCAAAATATTCTCTATGGGAATCTCAAACCCTTGTAGATTCAGTACAAGGATAGTACACTCTCGTCCTTTTGTAGTACCATCAAGCTTCTTACTACTTTATTTTATTTTACTTTTTGTTTGATACACTCAAGAGGAGGTGTCGAAAATGGATTAACAATCTACTGAGTGCCGCTAGACAAGAATCTGTCAATTATCCCATAAATTGCCAAATTCTCACCCCACAGTGTCCCTTCTGTGTTTGCAACCAAAGTTTTTAGGAACAAGTGGAATGCATCAAGGTAAGGGTAACATTGGGGAAAAAAAGGGCAATCCAATGGCAGCAGTAGAAGAGAATTAGGAGAGATATAATAGAAACACAGTCAATCAAGCCTGTGTGTCAAAGGGGGCAAGATTTTTTTTTCTTCAAATTGACACTTTTCTCTTCTTTCTCTTTTCTCTTCTTTATTTTTACAGTTGGTGAAACGGAGTAGGCAGTTGAATATGAGTTTCAACAGAGCTCCTATGATGAAGCAACATTTATAAACTGATGCCTCTCAAGATAACGCGGGGCGTGCCTGGAAGATGAAAATAAATAATAAGAAAAAAAAAAAACAATTTATAAAAAATGTTGTTATTTCCGAACTGTTTCTGAGTAAAAAGTTTGTCCGCTCGTCTCGGAAATTCTCCAAGGTACAATTGTAGTAAGATTGTAGTACGATTGCGGTACAATTGCAGTAAGATTGCGGTACAATTGTAGCAGATTGGAGAACATGGTAAGGGGTGGACTAGTCCTGGGAATAGGTACAGATATAGTAAAACAGGCGAGGTTTGAACGGTTGTTGACCAAGAAGAGCTCTACATATATACATAGACTTGTAAAGAGGCTTCTACATCTGGAATACGAACATGACCATTTCTACTCATTAGAATTCAAAAGACAAGCGAGGTACTTGGGAGGTGCATGGGCCACAAAGGAAGCACTATTCAAAACTCTTAAACCTGATGAGCAGAGGCGATTTAAATTTAACGAATGGTACCGGATTTATGACATTAATGGAAAACCGCTGATCGGTGGAGATAATTGGCAAAAGGGCAATGATGAATTTCACTTGAGTATATCACATGATGGAGAATATATAGTGGCAACCGTTTTGCGACAAATGATCTTTTAAAACAAGCACACTTGTTTTGATAGAAAAATGTATCAGTAATCATTTTAGAAGAGCAAACTAAATCAGTAGCAAAGAGGGAAATAGAAAAACAAATAGAAAACGAGCTTTGTCTAATACCCACGATGTCATTCCTTTGTAAATTGGATATAGAAGTTAATGATTAATGACTTTTTTTTTCCCCCGTGATGTAGTTAGAAAGACTAGTAAACTAGTAAGAAAAGTTAGCTTCCGCCTTATCTCTTATCTACTGAATCAATTCAAGCAGGGGAGAGAGTGAGAGAGAGAAGGGGGGGGGTGCGTACATCTTATGGCGAGACATCGCGCAATCTGCTTAAAAGTGAATAAATTTTTTTTGAGAATGAAAGATAAAGATGAAAAACCCGTGTGTAGGTATTGATGACTGAGGTGGAATGTTTATTGAACCAGATTTAATGTTTATTGAACCAGATTTAATGTTTATTGAACCAGATTTAATGTTTATTGAACCAGATTTAATGTTTATTGAACCAGATTTAATGTTTATTGAACCAGATTTAATGTTTATTGAACCAGATTTAATGTTTATTGAACCNCCAATTCCTCGTTCCTTACTTTTACTTTTTTTTTTTTTTTTTCTTTAATTTTATTTTTCTCTCCCTCATCACAATTCTCCATTGCAAGAAGAAAATACTGGAACTTAAAGCCAAAGCTTACCCGTCGATAGAAAGAACCCAACAAAAATTGAAAAATAAAAGAAGAACAAAGAAAATAAGAATGTAAATTGATTTTACTTGTTTTTAGAGAGATGAAAAAATTTGGGGGTGTTTGTTGTTTTCTGGGGTAAAGCTTTCATTCTTTAAAAACTCGATGTTGAGTGGTAAAGAATTCGTATGTGACGTAATTGAAGTAGTGCCGTGAGTAAAAATGTTTGTAGGTAACACACACACACACGTGTAATAACAAGAGTAATACAACCAAACTGAGAGATGGCAAATAGAGGTTAAAAAAAACCTGAAACAATAGATTAAATCAGGCCAGACCAAAATTAAACGAAATTAAATTAGACTAGGAGAGACTTGGTTAAAAAAAAAAAAAGATATCGCTTACCTCTAGGAGAAACGGTATTGTATATGTATCAAAGTTGATCGCTTTTATTTTTTTATTGTAAGCATTTATCAACAATTTATGCTACTTCACAGGCTATCACCCCCACTCCCCCTCCACCCTTAATCTCAACAGGCAATAGCAATAATTGAACTCTTAACGTTATTGTTATCCCTGACATTTCAATTCATTTCGGAAAAGAAAAAAAAAAGAATCTGTACCCCAATTTATTACTGTTGGCGAGATTAAAGTCAATTCTTTTTTTTATGTATCTTATTAATATTTCGTCATAGGAGAGAAAGTAATACCAAATTGCAACACCAGTTGATTACTCCGAAATAAGCAGTCTTTTTGTACACACACGATTTTCTTCTAAACTCTATAAACTTACAAATTTTCAATTTCTTACTGGACTCATGTGAGTCCCACCACAATTGAGGGTTTTCTTTTTTTTCCAATTTTGTTTTCCGTAATTTGATATGAAAATACAATTTTTTTTTTTTCATTTATTTTCTTTTTTTTTTCTCCTATGTGGATCCTTGCATCATCACTATCCTTTCTATTACCTAATGTACTGAAACACTAAAAAACACTACATATAGTGCAAGTGCATGCTTTGTGGCTCCTAACCACAAACTATTAACAAAGTAGAGGCTAAAACAAGGAATGCCACATTATTACAAAAAAAAGTAACAGTAAAGTAGTAGTGAAATTGTGTGAAAATTATATATATTAACAAGTAGATCCTTTTTCCCCTAAATGCCACCAACACAACCATAGAAACACAGAACCACACAACAGTTTAAGCAGTTACGTTTTTAAATAGGCAAATACTCTATCTCTATTCAAAAAAGCCTATTTATTATTTGTTAGCGGCTCGCAATCGCAGAGATTTATTTCCCTTACACCAAGAGATTTATTTCCCTTACACCGCAATTGCAGAGATTTATTTCCCTTACACCAAGAGATTTATTTCCCTTACACCGCAATTGCAGAGATTTATTTCCCTTACACCAAGAGATTTATTTCCCTTACACCGCAATTGCAGAGATTTATTTCCCTTACACCACAAGAGATTTATTTCCCTTACACCGCAATTGCAGAGATATCCTTACACCGCAATTGCAGAGATTTATTTCCCTCCTTTACACCCATTGCTTTCTCACCGTGCGAGCGATTTTCTTTTCTTTTCCCTCATCCCGCGCTCCACCATAAATAAAAGCCGAAAAAAAGAATAGGGAAAAAGCGGTTTAGAACAATTGGCAGAACATTCATCCGAAAAAAAAAAAAAAATCCAGTAAAAGCCAAGCCATTACTTGAGAGCAAATAGAGGAAGAAAAAAGAAAAAGTAAAATATCCTTCATACTTGGAATAATTCAACTCAACTGAAACAACCTTCGCAGCCATAAAGCCCTTTTTTCCCCCCCTTCTTCCTCTTTACTAAAGAAACAAATTAGCGAGAAAGGAAGCAATTTATTGGAAAAATTGGAAACATTGAAAATATTTGAATATTTGGCTTTGAATATTTTTTTCTTAATTCTCGATAATCTGCAGAACAAGTGAGAGAAGTTTGAGACTCATCGTTTCCATTGGATTTTCCAGGTACTATCATCACGGTCTTTTTTTAAAACAAACACAACACTGACGAGCAGAGCCATAGCTAGTAGAGCCAACTTTGCAGAGCCATACTTTGCAGAGCCATAGCTGGTAGAGTCATTAGCAGAGTTACACTTATTAGAGCCATACTTATTAGAGTCATACTTGGTAGCTTGTTACAACACTTGATAGCTTGTTGCAGCTCACTAAACAAAAAAGGATCCAGGGTACAACTTCACATGAACAGGTTATATATTCGAGTCCTATATTAGTATTTGGAACCTAGCTAAATCTAAGCAAATAAAAAATTCAACAGAAGGACACAAATTGGTGAAAGATGTTGCTAGTGGATCGTGTAAACGGTAATACCACCACCATCACCAACACCACCACCGCTGATTCAACTTCATCTCGTCACAGCGATAGCTTGTTGGAGGAAACTGAAGATAATCTTGGCAGTCTCAATATTAAACAGAGTACCGACACTACAAATACAATAGCTAAAACATCTATTTGCAAGACCACTTCGAACCTGCCCCAAAACCCTACAAAGAGCAGTTTAAGTTCTATCAGGAAAAGTAAATTCAACATTCAAGGGTTGTTTAGAAAGTTGCCAGTTTTAACTTCACCTTCTTATAATGCACCACTACAACGCGATGAATCTTCGCCAAATGCATATACAACTCCACACAAGAGTGACAATGATACCACTCAAACAACAACGGCGTATGAAAGGTCTTCTATTGCAAATATTTGTAATGACATGAACCACATCACTATTGTCCAAAGCGTCGAAGAAGAATTCGATAGTATTATCTATGAAGACAAGGATGTAATTGAAGATATTATAGAAGAACCCGAAGCCGAGGCAGAAGCGGAAGCAGAGACAAGGCCACATGTACGAACAGAAGAGGGAGATGAAAACTTTGCTGATTCTTCTTTCTCCTCAGCTAATCCAACCTCATTTTCTTTTTCATCGCGAAGTATACCTCCGCTAGATAAAACCAGTTTCTTTTCGTCATCGCAGAGTTATTTCTCGAATCATTATACCACGATGATCAACGACCAAGAAAGATATACGTCGTTCACTGCTGACTGTGTTTCTTTGCAAAACAGTGAAATGAGCGCTGGTAACATTGATTCTAATACAGAAATTATAGTTGTTGATTCATCTTTGGAAATGCTTAGAGAACCACCACCACCACCACCATTATCCTTATCATCATCATCACCACTACAACTACAATTACAACTGCAACTACAGCAACCACAAAACCCAAACCCAGCAGCATTTCAAAGCTTGAGAAAGTCACTCTCCAAAAAATACAAGAGACGCCAATCACTGCAACAAGTTGAAGAAAAGGTGAAGGAAAAGGAAAAAGAAAAAGAAAATGAAGAAGCGTCCTTGCCAATATCTGTATCTACACCCTCATCAACTCCTTTGGCAAGACCAAATCCACCCCGAAGAAACTTGCGAAGTCTTTTGAGAATAGCAAGTTTTTCAGGAATTCACAATATTCAATCAACGAACCCACACAAGGAAAGACAGTCTCTTATCAATAAAGAAGAACAAGAAGAACAGTTTCCAGAACCAGATGATTATGAGGATTATTCAGAATCAGAATCAGAGTTGAACTTTGACCCAAAACAAGAAGAAAGCAGTCATGATTATAGAATTGGGGGATATCATCCAGTATGCAAAGGCGACGTATATTATAGCAAGAGACTACTAAACCGGGAGTATGTGATTATTAGAAAATTAGGATGGGGCCATTTTTCCACAGTTTGGCTTGCCAAATCTAGATTATCAACAGATAGTATTCATGAAGATATTAGCGATTTAAAGTTTGACACAAATGAATACTACGTGGCTATTAAGTTTGTCAAGTCAAACAGGAATTACAAGGAAGCAGCAAGAGACGAGATTCGGATCATGCAAACTCTTAGTGATCCTTTGAATAATTCTGATCATTTATCTGAAAAACATTTGCAATATTTTAACAAGTTCAAGTCTCCTGAGGACCATCCGGGTTATAAACATGTTATGCAACTATTGGATGATTTTGAAATATCTGGCCCAAATGGGAACCATGTCTGCATGGTTTTTGAAATTCTAGGTGAGAATGTCCTTAATTTGATTTACAAGTATAAGAAGCTCTATAAGAATGTGAACCAGGAGATTAAGAAGAAACTAGAGCTTGAAGAAGAGATACAACAGTCACAATCACAACCACAATTACAACCACAATTACAACCACAATCACAACCACAATCACAACCACAATCACAACCACAATCACAACCACAATCACAACCACAATCACAACCACAATCACAACCACAATCACAACCACAACCACAACTACAACTACAACCACAACTACAATCACAACAACAGCAACAGAATATCAAATTTGGTAAATGGGATACCCGCAATCTCAAGAAAAATACGAAATCAATGCTAAGTCTAGGTTTGGCCAAAAAGGTTGAACAAGTGGACACCACAATCTGTAACAGCAGTGGTAGCAGTAACAACAACAGCAACAACAATAGCAGCAACACCAATGCAACTAGTAATTTTTCCCAGCCTTCAAATTCTTCAACTACGTCCTCAACATCATCAACAGTGTCACCCGCAGAGCCCATAATGGAATCTACGGGTGACCTTGAATCAACAACAACTGTTGGCTCATGGGAAAACTCAATTGATAGAAAATTAAAACAAATGAATTCAGACTCGTTGGTCAAGATTATAGAAACTTCGAAAAATTGCGGAGGCATTCCTCTATATTTGGCTAAGCAAATTGTTAAACAGATGTTGTTGGCACTAGACTATATACATCACTGTGGAATAATACATACAGATTTGAAACCAGAAAACATTTTAATTGACATAGAAGATATTAGTAAGATTATCAAATTAATTGAAAATGAAAAATTGCAGAAATATAGGACCAACTCAGTTAGCAGAGCAGCGTCTCTTATTAAGATGAACAACAACAATGCTTCTAAGCCTCAATTATATACGAGAAACCTGTCAGTAACCATTCAACAATTCCCACAACAACTGCCATCCTCACAGCAGCAGCAGCAGCAGCAGCAACAACAACAACAACAACAACAACAATATATTGTTCCACCACAGCCTCAACCACTACAACAAAATCATCGACGTGCGTCGTCACTGGCTTCTGTTACATCATCAAACAGTTTCTACTATCGTAAACTGAAAAACTCCATTGCGGGTAAATATGAATCTCCCATTCGTTGTTCAAAGCCACTTTCCTTATCATTTTCTCAGGATGTTTTTTTCAGAGATGTTGATTTTGACCGGACCAAAAAATCAACCATTTCAAAAACTCTTAGCCCAAGGTATTTCACTCTTGTGGATAAAAAGCAAGCAGCCATGGGACCAGAGGTTATTTTGAATCCAAGTGCAAAATTGAATATCAAGATCGCAGACTTGGGTAATGCAACTTATACTAATCATCATTTTACGAATCAGATCCAAACTCGTCAATATAGGTCACCAGAAATAATTCTCAGGTACAAGTCATGGGGCTCGTCTACTGATATTTGGTCACTTGGATGTATCATTTTTGAATTGATTACTGGCGATTTCCTATTTGATCCTCACGAAGGAGATGACAAGAGCGGATTTGATAAAGACGAGGATCATCTTGCACAAATTGTGGAACTTTTAGACTCGTTCCCAACAGATGAGTATCTTGTTGATTGTAAACTTACAGGTAAGTTTTTCAAGCTATCATCAAGGGACAGAGATTCAAGTAAAGTGATTTTCAAAAATATTGATAATTTGAAAATTTGGAGATTAAAAGACGTTCTTATCGAAAAATATAAATTTAGTTGTGATGATCCCGAGGTGGATTTGGTTTGTGATTTGATATTGAAATGTTTGAAATTTGAATTAAACGAGAGATATGACGCACTGAGTTTATTGAAACATCCATGGTTCAATGAAGAGACAAATGGCACAGCAGCAGTAGTTGCAAACGAACTGGATTCACTAAAAATGGGTAATTATCATGACGATTTACCGGGATTTACTTGTGAAGAATAAGAGGACAAATTATTGAAACGACATTTTGTAATGACTTTTTTTTTTATTTATATTTATATGCATATATATACATAATAGGTGATACTTTTTTGGGTTTTTTTTTGTTTTTATTATTAATTGTACACTTATACATCAACAATGAATCTATGTGCTTTCATGTCTTCTAGGGATATTGATTCATAAGCATGGAGATCCAAGGCGGGATCAAAATCGGAGTCAATCGATGGATCCCGTATTATGTTATCATCATTCCCCAGCTCATCAAGTAAATCATCATTGCCTTCCTCTTCTTCCTCTTCTTCCTCTTCTTCCTCTTCTTCCTCTTCTTCCTCTTCTTCCTCTTCTTCCTCTTCTTCCTCTTCTTCCTCTTCTTCTTCCTCTTCTTCCTCTTCTTCTTCTTCTTCCTCTTCCTCCTCTTTCTCCTCCTTCTTCTTTGAGGTTTTCCTCTTCTTTCCCTCATAGGCACTCCGTACTCTTAATAACTCATTTTTTCCCTCTCCACCCGCATCATTATCCCCCTGCTTCCCCTGTTCCTCCTTCTCCTCCTCTTCCTCCTCCTCATCATCATCGTAACTCATTCTAAGCTTTCTTGCTTTCTTCACGGGTCTTGCTTGCTCTGTCTTTGCAACTTTTACAATCTCCTCCCCCTCCTTGTCCTCCTCATTAACCTCAAGTTTCTTCATTTCAAAATACGGCACATCAACTTTCGATTCAACAAGTCTCACACAATTCACCAATCCTTCCAGTGGCTCGGCCTCTTTTATACGCTGGGCGATATCCTGTACAACATACCAGGAGTCATTACTTATTTTACCAACACAATTACTCACCGCTTCCAATTCCGTTAGACTAATCATCCATTGTCCGTTAACAACACCAACGTATCCTCGTTTACATCGTATTCGAGGGTTTGATTCCTTGGTCACATCAACTGATCCAAATTGAATCATCGTTGCAACAGATTCATTGTTAATCACTGTGAATTTGCAATTGCAAAGTTTTTGTAAATGACACGCTTTGATAAAGGCAAGGGCCGTTTGAGGTAATTCTTTGGCAAAAAGGGAAATCTTGATATTTCCTCTTGTTGTAACGATTGAAACTTGTGCTGTTGTAGCAGGTTCTAAGGACATACTACTGTTGAATTCTTTTCACTCTTTACTCTTTACTCTTTGCTCTTAGCTCTTTACTCTTTGCTCTTTGCTCTTTGCTCTTTGCTCTTTGCTCTTCGCTCTTTACTCTTAGCTCTTAGCTCTTTGCTCTTCGCTCTTTACTCTTAGCTCTTTACTCTTAGCTATTTGCTCTTTGCTCTTTGCTCTTTACTCTTTTCTTCTTATCCTTTTCGGTCTTTCCTCTTCGCTCTTTTCTTCTTATCCTTTTCGCTCTTTACTCATTTTTTTCTTCTTCTTCAATAACTAAAGGAGTAGAAGCAGCGACAATTAAGGGGTAGAAGAAAAAAAAAAAAACCTTGAGTTGGAAACGTCAGAACATCAATAAGATCAAAACTTTGATTACTAGTTCTGATACTATACAGAAGTAAAAAAGAGTCATATCAAAACGGTTCAACATATATACACACACATCTCTTTTTCTAGTTCAACATATACACACACATCTCTTTTTCTAGTTCAACATATACACACGCATCTCTCTATCTAGTTCAACATATACACACATCTCTCTATCTAAGCGGATGGTATATTAGAAACTAAAATCAATATTATCGTTTTTTTTTCCCGCAAGTAAATCAACACTATTTGCACAATCACTAAGAAAAAAAGGAAAAAAGTAAAAGAACATTGAGGGTGATATAGGATTCGTTTTCAAAAATGAAAGCAAATACTAAATAACAAATGAGTGACAATCGATGGGAATTAAAAACATTGTCTCTCAGGTCAAATCAAACATTGTCTCTCAGGTCAAACCAAACATTGTCTCTCAGGTCAAATTAAACATTTTCTCTCTCAGGTCAAACCCTGTTCTTTCAATAATTCTCTTTCCCCCACTTCCTTTTCAAGTCTCCTTACTTGCTTCTTATTCTCCATACTTTTTTTTTTCCCGTGTGAGCCGCATTTGTATCTCGCATAACTAAAATTAGAGATTAACGTTTGTTTTTGATCCCCCACTTATTTTTCCGCGCTGAATCCCCCACTTATTCCTCCATGTACCAACAAAATATTGGCGATTATATAAAAAGCAAGGCTTTAGACAGATGAGAATACTTGGGGTGAAAGTCTCACCAGTATCGTATTTATTTCGAACAATGACCACCGCTGCCACTGCCGCTGCAAAATCAGCACAACCTGTCAAACCAAGAGTTTTAAGAGTTGGGAAAATCGAATACGCTCAAGAAAAATGGGCACAAATAGCAGATCTTGTTGAAGTTGTCGATTGCGAATCTGCCAATCGTGAAGAATTTCTCAAGGATTTAGGAGGTAAATATAACGATATTACTAATGTGTTGAGAACGTTTGCCTCAGTGTCTCAAACCGGTAGGTTTGACGAAGAAGTCGCTGCTCATATGCCAAAGACATTAATATCTTTGAGTCATACCGGTGCTGGCTACGATCAAGTTGATATTGAACCCTTCACCAAAAGAGGAGTGCAAGTCTCAAATGTCACTGTGCCAGTGGAAGCGCCCACCGCAGACACGGCAGTCTGGCTAACTCTTACTTGTTTGAGAAATTTTCAACAAGGTCACGACCTCTTGGTTAAAGGAAACTGGTTAAAAGAGAAGAGTGCTGGTGCAAAGTTGGCACATAGTCCCGAGGGGAAAAGCATTGGAATATTGGGAATGGGTGGTATTGGTAAAGCAATTAGGGACAGATTGAAGCCATTTGGGTTTAAAAAAATCCTTTATTATAATAGAAGTCAATTGGCTGCTAAAGCGGAAAACGGCGCAGAGTACGTAACAAGGGAAGAATTATTTAAGCAATCAGATATTATTGTAATAAGTGTGCCATTGAATGCAAACACAAGGCACTCAATTGATAAAAAGGCAATCGAGCAAATGAAAGATGGCGTGATCTTGATCAATACTTCAAGAGGTGCTGTTATTAATGAATCGCAATTACCGGAGTTGATCAAATCTGGGAAAATCGGTTCTTTTGGTGCAGACGTATTTGAACATGAACCAGAAGTTTCTAAGGAGTTGATTGATTTACCAAACGTGGTTAGTTTACCACACATGGGAACATATACCTATGAAGCTACCAAAAACATGGAAGAATGGGCAGCAGAAAATGTCTTGACATGTTTAAAAACGGGAAAGGTTTTGAGTATTGTACCTGAACAAAAAGACATGAAAATCGATGCAAAACCATTGATATAAGAGGAAATAGACCCTGAATTTTTATTTTATTTTATATATATATATATATATATATCATGTAAAAGCTTCCCCAAGGCTAGATCTTTTTCAATTAGCTTGAGAGTGAAGATCCATGTAGAAATAAATTTGTGGGGATAGATTTGTAGAAATAAATATGTAGAAATAGATTTGTATTATTTTTCACTCCTCAAATTTTATTCATTTCGTACAGGAAAAACATACCATGCTTTTGGTCCTGATCCTACCGTGGCAAAAGAAACAACCTTAGCCACAGCCAAAAGAGTTTAAGTTCATTTTATTTCCTCTTCCTCAATGATGTATTTTTTTCAACATTTTTCAAAATCTTAGTATCTCAAATAGCAGTAAACTAATGGCTCCTACTAGGCTTCGTCTCTTAATAATTACATACAAACTTAAACTTTTCTCTGACGTCACAAGCACATAGGGTCCTATATCATCTACATGCTTATTACATATGGCTATACTACCTCTGAAAGCATTTGAAAGCACTTCAGTTATTCAACCGTGTGCTCTCCCCTCCTCCTCCCCCATTTAAAAACACGCTTCCCTAGTCGCTCGCTTACTGGGTCATTCATTCCCTTGCAAAGTCTTTTACAATTTCATCTTCAATTGGGTGAAAATTCATCTTAGTTACGAGAAAAAAGAAAAAAAAAAATTAGAGAGTTTCACAAAATTTTAGTTTGGGACACTTTTTTTTGTTTCGTTTCGCTTTTGTTTTGCCCCGTATTTTACATACCGTCAGTGACTTAATACTAAAACACACACATAATAATGGCTCAAAACTTATCTATGAACTTTATTGTATCAATTAAGAAGATAGAGATGAGATATCTTTATAATTAATAATTTGTTCCAACCTACCCCGGGAAATTGTTTTTTCTCCACCCCCCATTGGAATCCATGTAGTTAATCATCATCAAGGAAGAAGAGGAAAAAGAATGGGTGTGTGGGGTGGTGGTGGGGGGGAGGGAATGAGGAAGAAGGATGGGGGGGGGAGGAAGAATTGAACGAGGATGGCAATCCCGATAAAGGGAAATAAAATTTCTTTTTAGTGTGTAGTAGACTTTTCAGCTCTCTCTCTCGTTTTCTTTTTTTTTCATGGTCTCAATTTTTTTTTTTTCAGTTTCTCCATTTTATATACATCTTAAATTTTAGGGCATACAAGATACACGAATTGTTACTACTTGAAACGAAAAGAATTGATGGCGCAAGTCAGAACCTTATAAACAAACGTTATAGAAGGAAAGTTTAAGAGAAAGCTGAGGAAAAAGGAAGAGACTTGTGCCACTTGCAGAGTAACTCAACAATTAAAAAAACAGGAAAAAAAAAAGAATACGGGTTGAGGGAAAGAGACTGGAATCCACTTGGGAAATAGCCTTACAAAGCGCCAGTTTAGCACAAAAAAAAATGAAAATGGAGCATCAAGAGCATCAAGATCATCAGATACAGTTTCTACCAAAAGATCCCTTTGAAATAGACTACGAAGCACTACCAGAAGATGCTACATTAGCTGCACATCTAGGAGCCGGCGCCTTGGCTGGTATCATGGAACACACAGTGATGTTTCCCATAGATTCAATAAAGACAAGAATGCAATTGAACTTATCGGGTATGGAGCTATCTAAAGGATTATTGACTTCGATATCAAAGATCAGTTCGACGGAAGGGTTTTATGCATTGTGGAGGGGAGTTTCTTCAGTAATATTGGGAGCTGGTCCAGCTCATGCCATTTACTTTTCAGTTTTCGAATCAACAAAAACTTTTCTTTGTAATAGACTAACCAATTCACCACATTCAAACAAGTTAGTTACAGACGAAAACCGGCCTGTTATAGCAAGCTGTGCTGGGGTCGCTGCTACTACTGCCTCTGATGCACTTATGACTCCCTTTGACATGTTAAAACAAAGAATGCAAGCAAATGCTGCATATTCGGAAAATAAGATTAATTCAGTAAGATTATTGAAATTAGCAGCCGAAATTTATAGAAGAGAAGGTCTCGCGGCATTTTACATCTCATATCCAACTACATTGCTCACACAGATACCTTTTGCTGCATTGAATTTTGGATTTTATGAATATAGCTCTTTGATACTCAACCCGTCGCATTCATATAGTCCTTATTTGCATTGTGTTAGTGGTGGTATTGCAGGAGGAGTAGCAGCAGCATTAACAACACCGTTGGACTGTGTAAAGACAGTTTTACAAACAAGAGGGATGTCAAAGAATGCAGTTTTACGAGAGGTAACTGGGTTCAAAAGTGCTACTGAGGCTTTATATAAGCTAGGTGGCATAAAAGGTTTCTGGAGAGGCCTTAAACCAAGAGTGATATTCAATGTTCCAAGTACAGCAATATCGTGGACAGCATACGAAATGTGTAAAGAGTTGTTGATTAGAGATAGAACGGCGAAGTAGAAAAGAAACAAAAAAAAAAAAAGAAAAATAAGGAAAAGAGAAATAACAAGCCAGGAACGATAGGGGAAATGTCCTGATGCTTTGTGGACATAAAAAGCAAAAAGAATTTTACCAACAATATTACATATATATATATATATATATATATATATATATTAATCAGTCTACCTGTATATATATATATATATTCTTACCCCTGTGTATTATTAACAAGTTTGACTGATGTATGTCCAAAGTTCGAAAAGGAGTATTTTTTACTTTAATGAGTTTGCAAAACCTATAAACAACCTCCTCCGACTTATTAAGACTGGATTGCTCTTATTAAAGCGTTAGCTCTTGCAATATGAGCGAGTTCTCTTGGGTGTCTCGATAATCGTTGCGCAACAAATGAAAACAAAACGCATGATCCGAGGAATCCTAGTAGATTAAAAAACGCTGCTCTTGAGTATAGCCTCTCCTCTTCTTCAGTGCGAAAAGATTGAAAGATTCGTCGTATGCTTGCAAATATCATTGTTTTACGAGTAAGGAGTAGTTTCTGTCCTGAAAAGGGGGGTTGATTCAAAGAAATACAAAATACAATATTGATTGTTGATTGTTAATTGTTAATTAACATATTTTTTTTTTCATCTTGAAAGGTTCGAACCAGCGCGTTAAAAAAAAAAAAAAAAAAACCAGCCCAACTTGTGTCGATGATCGGTATCGGGTGCTTGAAAAACGTGTGTTCAAGTTCGCATATTGCACTAAATAGCTCTTGATTGCTTCGACACAAATCAACAGCCAACCATTTACGATGCCGTTCCCATACAAAATTCCTCAAAGAGTGTAGCAAAATATATAACCGCATACACAAGGCAGGCAGATATATATCAGCACAACCCCACCAAGGAATTTCCGTGTATATTTCTTATGACATCGCCCATGCGTTTTCACGCTAAGGTTTAAAAGTCAGCTCTCAAGAGCAAATATACATATATATGCTTGCATATATATATATATTGAGTTAAATGGGGTGTACCACCGAATTTCCCACCCGCTCGTAGAATGAATTTTCAAAACGAATTCCTTGTGTTGACGGGTAAATGCGAAACGACACTAGTCGAGTTCGGGGCGAGTATGCCACGCGAGTAGCAACGCAATTTTAAAATATTAGTTTTCAGATATAAATTCCTAGAATGTATATTAGATAGTTATCAGATAGTATCAAGTTGTGTTGGTACTAAACTCGTAACTAGAGGAGGTTGGGGGTTTGCATTAATTTGTCTATCTAGTTTTCTTTTTTTTTTTTAAGATGTTCCAGACCGCTATCATAACGTTTCGGTAGCATGTTTGGATGTAGATGGAAGGAGAGAACTTTTTCTCTTCTTCATTGACTTTTTTTTAAAAGAGCATTTTTTTTTTTCAGCATTTAGAGATTATGCATATATGAAAATGAAAGGCGGATTTCCTTTTTCCATATGAAGTTTTGAAAATTTTTACTTATTGAACTCATATATTGTTGAAAGGGACCTCTTCAACACAAAACTACTAAAGTCTCTGGCGCAAAAATTTGCGTTAAGCATAACAATAGGCTATTGGCTAGGGAAAATTACTCGTTCTCATACCATCAATCTAATAAGTCGTCAGTTTTTTGACGAGAAAATTACAGAAAAGATTTGAGAGCAAATATTTCGAAGGGGGGGGTCTTTTTATATATATATATACATATATATATGTATAGGTTGGTTTTCCAGTACTAGGAATTAACCCTTTCAGATTGACAGATACATCGACCAATAGAAGGTGAAAAAGAAACAGGACTAAACAAGTCGCAAGTTAAATACATTTTCAACTATACATAATTTTTCACAGAATATATTGTTAAAACTGAGTAGATTCTAACTCATATTTTCTAGCTCGTAATTGAATCCTCTTTCGTTTGTTCTAGCAAAAAATAATTTTTTATTATTTTTATTATTATTATTATTTTATTTATCGTTTTGTACCATAATTGTATTTTTACTGAGAATTGCATTTGGCTACGGGATTTAAACTTCACTAAACTGGTGAAACTGATTTAATTGATATAATTGATTAAACTGATAAAATTGATGGCAAAGTTTGTAAAGTATAGTTTTCCGAGGCTCGCAAATGTATTCCAAAATTTGAATACACATACAGTTTCAAAAAAAAAAAAAAAAAAGGCAGCGTATATGCTATATGAATTAAGTAGATTGTTTTCTATTTCGTAACATTGCTCAACATCTAGTCTGATGGAAAAGACCGAAATCAGATTGTAGATAGGCGAGCAATGTTGTGGAGACTTGCCTATTATTTAACTCTACCTAAAAGGGTTTTCTAATCATACGACGAGAACAGCTCTTGTCCTCTCAATTCAGGCGCAGTTACGATCCATAGAATTCTCAGCTAATTCTTCATTTAGTTCTCACAATTATATTATTCCCACCCCCCCTTCACTAAAATCCGTTAAAGAAAAATTTATTCAATGTGAACCGGAAAAATCACCGAATTTTAGATTGAATAAAGAAAAAAAAAAAAAGATTATTTCCATTAAAAAACTTTGCCACAAAATGTCAAACAGACTTTTACATTTTCCTCTTATTATGTAGGTCTTGTCAAAGACCCTTAGTTCTACACTTGTCTGGTTTACGTCATCATTATACCTACTAATTTAGTTTTTTCTTGATTTATGTGAAGTAGCATCATGACAAAGCCAATAAAATGTATATTGTCTCACCCCATCTTCCAAGCAGATTGGACTTTGCAACTTTTGGGATGGTTGACGTAAACCAGCTTATTGTAAAAAGAAATTTCTCAAATTTCAAAAATACTGCTTGAGATTGTACAATATGTTAAGTTTAAACAGATAATGTCTATTGTTTTAATTTTTTTTTCTTATTTTTTGTTTTCTCAAAGAAAAGATCTCATAGTACTCCATCAGATAATAGAACTGTCGATGTTAGACTATATAATGAAGATGAAATTATCCCTCTTTTTACTTACTTTCGCGTCTAAACTTAACCTCGTAATTCATTAACACTTCCAATTATATCCTTAAAAATTTAAACATGGCTTCCTCAACTGGGAGTAAGAGGTCATCATCCATCGATGAAAAAGCCATTGTTGATGATGATCTTTTCTCAAACAAAAACTATGAAAATTCCGAGAAACCTTTAGAAGAAGCAGTTGAAGCTGAAAAATCAATTGGTGTTCAAAAAGCCGAGTTGTTAGCTGAACAGTGGAAACACACGTTTTGGTATAAATGTATTTTGCTTGCGGCTGCATTCGTGGTAGGATACGCTTATGGTTTGGACTCTCAAACACGGTATGTTTATACTGGTTATGCTACTGCTTCTTGGAGCGAGCATTCACTTTTAACCACTGTTAATGCCATTACTGCACTTACCGCTGCTGCTGCACAACCTGTATATGCAAGATTGTCCGATGTCTTTGGTCGATTGGAATTGTTTATTGTTTCTATACTATTTTACGTTGTTGGTACAATTATTGAATGTCAGTCGCCAACCATCAATGCCTATGTTGCCGGTGCAGTTTTGTATCAGATTGGCTACAGTGGTATTATAATGGTTTTGCTTTTCATTTTATCTGATTTTTCAAGTTTGAGATGGAGGTTGTTTTATTCGCTTTGTCCATCTTTTCCCTTTATTATAAACACTTGGATTTCAGGTGATGTTACACAAGCAGTAGGCACTAATTGGAAATGGGGTATTGGAATGTGGGCATTCATTTTGCCTTTAGCTTGTATTCCATTTTTATGCTGCATGATACACATGAGATGGCTAGCTGGAAAAACTGAGGCTTGGGCAAAATTCAAAGAAAGAAAGACCAAATATCAAGAGCTCGGATTTGTTGGATTCTTCAAATATCTCTTTTGGAGATTAGATGTCATTGGGCTTATCTTAATGATTGTGGCTTTGGGTTGTTTATTGATTCCATTGACTCTTGCTGGGGGTGTTAGGGAAAAGTGGAGACAGGGTAACATTATTGCCCCTATTGTTATTGGAGCTGTTTTGATTCCGGTATTCTGTCTTTGGGAAAGATATACTAAAGATCCAATCTTACCTTTGTCATTAATGAAAGATCGTGGTATTTGGTCAGGAGCTGTTATCTCGTTCTTTTTTGACTTTGTGTTTGCAGTAGAAGCTAGTTTCTTGTATACCGTGTTGATTGTTGCTGTCAACGAATCAATGAAATCAGCAACAAGAATCACCAGTATATCATCATTTGCCTCAGTTATTTGTGGCTTGCTATTTGGTTTATTTGTTGCTTATTTCCGTCGTTTGAAACCATTTGTTATCTTGGGTTGTTCATTATGGATGGTGGCTTTTGGGTTGATGTTCCATTATAGATCTACATTAAGTGCCCACTCGGGTATTATTGGTGCAATGGTTGTGATGGGTATCGGTACCGGCTTCTTTACTTATCCAATAACAGTCAGTGCACAAAGCTGTGTCAGCCATGAGCATATGGCTGTTGTTACTTCTGCGTTATATACTCTTTACAGAGTTGGTTACGCTGTTGGTTCATCTGTTGCCGGTGCAATCTGGTCTCAAACATTATATTCCAAGCTAACTCAATATCTTGCTCCTGACGTAGCCACCAGTGTTTATACAAGTCCATATGCTTTTGCTGCAAAATATGCATGGGGGACTCCAGAAAGAGAGGGCGCCGTTCATGCTTATGGTGAAGTGCAAAAGATTTTGATGATTGTTTGTCTTTGCTTTGTTGCACCAATGATTGTTGCTGCACTTTTCTTGAGAGATCACGAGTTGACGAGAGATCAATCATTGGAACAAATAGAAGAGAAAGAGAAAGATGATACTTTAACAAGCTTTATCAAAAACTTTGGTAGAGGCGCCCACGAACGTGTATAATATGATATATGTAGTATAATTTTAATAGAACAAGAGTTGATGACACTAGCGAGCTAGTGGAGCAACACTTACAGCGACACTTATCGCAACACTTATCGCAACACTTATTGCAACACTCATCGCAACACTTATCGCAACACTTATCGCAACACTTACAGCGACACTTATCGCAACACTTATCGCAACACTTATCGCAACACTTATCGCAACACTATCTCGCTCTGCTCGATAGTGTCGCTCTGCTCGATAGTCTCTGCGGATATGTGAATATGAATTGATGCAAAAAACAAAAGAAACAACCTTAGAGCCGGATCAATGATGCAGATCACGTGTATCATAGGGCTATACACACAGCGCAAGTCAGTTCTCTACCACAATTTATTATTATTTTTCCCTTGTCATCTCCCAGTGTCTACCAAATCCCACACGTGACAGGAGTGAAAAAAAAAACTCTAATCTTGTCAATTGGAAACTACCAAACAGTTGAAACAAAAAAAAAAAAATTTAGATTCATAAGGAAGTATATTGAAAAATTCCTCTTTTGAAGTTTCGATTGACTATAGTAAAGAACTAACTACGAGCATGTTAATTCCAAAAGAAGACAGAAAGAAGATTCACCAATATCTCTTCCAGGGTATGTTTTCATCCAAATAAATCAATAAGAAAAGGGTGTCTTTACGGGAACGAGCGGCACTATTGACCAGAATGACATTATTGAGTAGAGCGACACTATTGAGTAGAGCGACACTATTGAGCAGAATGACACTGTCGAGCATAACAACACTATTGAGCAGAATGACACTATTGAGCAGAATGACACTATTGAGCATAACAACACTATTGAGCAGAATGACACTGTCGAGCATAACAACACTATTGAGCAGAACAACACTATTGAGCAGAATGACACTATCGAGCAGAACAACACTATCTCGCTCTGCTCAATAGTGTTGTAACAAGCTACTGTGCTACTAAGTGTTGCTCCACTATCTCGCTCTGCTCGATAGTGTTGGAGATTCAATATCATAGGAAAGATACATAGGCACTTGTTTCTAAAGAAAAAAAATTCATGTCAATTTATCAATGCCAATTTTCCCAATGTATAGACACAAGACTTGAATTTTCAACGATATACTAACTATTATTATAGAAGGTGTTGTTGTTGCCAAAAAGGATTTCGATTTGCCAAAACACGACGAAATCGACACTAAAAACCTTTACGTTATCAAAGCTTTACAATCGCTCACAAGTAAAGGTTTTGTTAAGACCCAATTCTCATGGCAATACTACTACTACACATTAACTGATGAAGGTTTGGAATACTTGAGAGGTGAATTGAACATCCCAGAAGGTATCTTACCACTCACCAGATTGAAGAATGCTCCAGCTGAGAGACAAAGACCAGCTAGAGGCGGTGCTCCAGTTAGAAGAGGTTTCAGAGGAAGAGATTAAGTGTTTATTATTATTTGTATAATCAGGAAATTAATGATCATTGTATAAAAAAAAAAGAAGAGCCAACTCGTATTTTTTATTTTGGTTGTTATCTCAGTAGATAAAAAATTGGCTATTTTAAATCTCTTGTCATCCAAGATAACTCTTTTTTTCAGCACCATTTGCCAACCTATCCCTTATTTTACCATCATCAACCAAATACTCTTGTGATTTAGGTTGCAAGTTGCAAAGTTGTAAACGTCCCATACTACATGGTAAAAAAAAATGAGAGAGAGGAAAAAAAAAAAAAGACCCACTGAAGTCGTGTCCGTGGCTAAATCCCCGTTAAGTGAATTTTACTAGTTGAAGAAAAACGCCTGGGAGAAGTGGTGAAAATAGTTTCCTTGACGGTGTGTACCACATTGAAAGTAACTACTCCCACCACCAGGAGGCTAAGCGTCAAAGTTGAGAAAATATTCAAGCATCACGATCTATTTAGTAGTACAAATTTTTCCACAATGAACGATTTACCGCAAATGCCCACGCCCTATCAACAGCAGCAGCAACACCAGCAGTACACTTCGAAAAAACAACAACAACAACAGCAGCAACAGGCAAACTTTAATCCTCAGAAAGTGGCCTATAGACCCCCGCAACATTCTCCCAGAACTGCTAGCTCTACTTCCTTACAGTATCAACAGCCCCAACAGCATCATCACCATCCACAGCCTTCTCAGCAGCCCCCCCAACAACAGCCTGTTTATCAATATCAGTCTGGACCAAACCCCGATTACTTTCGTCAGCAACTGCGACAACAACTGCAACAGTCAATACCTCAGCAACAGCAGTATTCTCAACAGCAACCTATGTACCAACTGCAACAACCGGTCTACCAGCTGATACCCGCTCCACCTCCACCACAGCAACAGCAACACGTTCAGCCTTCTTATTTGCAACTGCCGCAACTGGCACAGGTGATGTATAATTCTCATTCGCAGTCCCCCCAGGCAGCGGCTTCTCTTCAATTGCAGTACCAAAAATTTCCAACACAACAATCCCGCTCTGGGTCAGGCACTAGTTCTCAACAATTTGAACAGTTTCAGAGTTCCAGCACACATGCGGTCAATAAAAAGCCACCATCTTCAATGACTGGATCCCCACCACGCACCAAGCCGTCTAACAGATCAAAGGAGTCGATACAAACAGAGTCAAAGAGCTCATTGTCCAAGCAGAAATTGGAAATTGAGCTAAGAAGTGTTTTTGAGAAAGTTGATGTCAATAAATCAGGAAGAATATCAGGTAAAGAGCTATCATATGCTTTGTTAAACTTTGACCATACGAGATTTCGAGACTCAACAATCAAATTAATGCTTAATTTATTCACAAACAAACATGATCCAACTGCTTCAGCATCCTCCTCCACATCGTCATACAATTCTAACAAGTCCCTCAATTTCGAACAGTTTGTTTCTTTATGGAAATACTTGTCAGCATACAAAAAGCTTTTTGTCCAAGCAGACGCAAACAAGTCGGGTGATATTTCATTTGGTGAATTTCAAAAAATTTTAGAGCAAATTGGTTACAAATTAGATATTGACTTGGTTCTACATTTGTTTTCCAAATACAGCATCCATGAAGAAGGTGAAGTGGGAAGATTAAAGTTTGACTCGTTTGTCGAATTACTAGTATATTTACGAAAGCTAACGGACATTTTCAAAAAGTATGATAAAAACCTCTCAGGTACTGCGACAATTGAGTTTTCAGATTTCCTATTTGAAATAAGTAACATGTCTTGATGCAGAATGTTATTATTATTTTTTTTTTTTTTTTGTATTATTTATTGATAATCCTACTTTATACATTTATCTTTCTTTTCCTCTTCTTTCATTCATACTTAAAAAACTAAATAAAGTAACTTCTCCAAAGTACTCCTTCGAGATCTTGCATTTGCTCTGGTTGGAATATCTTGCTGTCCACGTGCCATGTATCCTGTCTGTCTTTTTTGAACTTGCCAAGTATTTCTTTAGCGGTTTTTCCAACTACTCCAGGAAGACCAGTTGCTTTATTTGCCAAAGTTGTTAAAACTGCTGGAACCCAGCTTGGAGGCGGTGATGCAAAGGGGAACGCATGGACAAGAGATCCCAAACCCAATGTGGCTCCATGCAATATAATCACATCTCCCTGTGTCATGTTCTTGAAATTTCCCTTCTTCTTTTTATATACACTTCGAAGCTGATCCAATTGTTTTGTATACAAATCAATAAATCTCTTAACAACCAGTTCAACTTCTTCTAAGGGCAACATGTGTATTAAACCAGATAACGTTGCCGCTTCTGCTTCTCTGACTTCAATGTTTTTGTGATACAATAGAGAACCTGTAATCTCCACGATTTTCTCACGTTGCGCCTTGGACAACTTAAACAAGTTTCTAAAAAAAATCGTTTCTGTAAACTCTCCCACAACAATGGTTTGCACCAAGTTTAAGTCCAGTTTAGTGTACTTATCCAACATTGCTACGATATCCCCAAGATACTCCTTGGTATATGATATTTGAGACACTTTTTTGAAAGCAGTGATTGGATCAATGTTACCTAGCTGGCACACTTCTTTCATATTGATAAGTTCAAGTAAAAACGGAACAATATAACTTGGAATAAATTCCTGAAGTAATATGCTGGAGTTTGTATTCACCTCTTGTTTGAGCCAGTATAACAATGTAGTAGCTGTGTTGATGTAATCTGAAACTAAAATCCTCTGAGGGGGTAATCCAGCCACTTCATTCCGTTCTGCCTCAACGTGCTCAAATAGTCTCGGAATTTCAGTCAAAAATCTTCCACTATTGCCTTCTGATCCTCCTCTAACTTGAAAGTTCCGGTTATTATCGTTGCAATATTCAACAAAGGTTTTACTATCCGCAATCGACTCAACATAATAGTTCATCGACAACATTGCCATAAGCGTCCCAATTTCCTTTCTCACTGCATTATATTTGTGGTTTATGTTGTCCAAACATAGTTTCAAGAACTTGTCAGGATCTACTAAACGCCACGATAACGCTGCTATAATGGTCCTAATATAACCAATTCGAGAAGATTCTTTAAACGCCGAGTCTGACTTGGGATCTACTTGGAAATTCAAAAACTCGTCAATCACCTTTGGGAATCTTCTATAATCCCCGTGTGCTGGTACCCACAAGGTAAATATAGACCACGTACTCTGCGTACCTGGGGAAATGTCATTTTCCAAAATCTTCTTCAAGCGTTTGGAAACATAGTTATCACGCTCATCCCAGTATTTTGGAGCGGTAGATTTCGAAGCTAATAGTACTCCGGCAAAAACCTCACATGTACCAATATGAGCACTTTTTTCATCGCTTTCGTAAATATCGTCGACCAAACTCAACAAATCCGAATACGAAAAGTTCGGTGTAAAGCCATTTGATATCAATAAAACCAACGTCTCTATAATCAAAACGTCAGACATTTGAAAAGCATTGCTATTCTCGGCATCCGAGACCCACATCTTCACAATCTTCAAAAACCAATCTCTATTTATTAAACTTCCAAACTTTGATAATGCAGCATGATCTTCCGGGCTCAACTCTAATTTATATGTGGGCTCCGAACGCACTACCTTTAAGTTGTCTCCCCAAAATAGCCATCCCGTATTTGGTTTACCATCAACATAGAAGCTAGGGTTTTCGGTATTTGCAAGCTCTTGGATCCAACGGCTGAAATAAGACTGGTTACCGCGAGGTTTTGTGTCCACTAATTTTTCTGTTTTGCTAAGAAAATCCAAGTCGTAACAATTGCGAACATCGTAACCATACCGGTCAAGAATATTAATCTTAGTCATGATACGAGTTATTCCATGCAATGCATGTCTCAATATGATCGGATGCTCTTTGGAAGCTTCGTTAAACAAAATTTGTAAAGTTTCGGTTCTCACAGGGGTCTCTAAATACGACTGTAAGTTCAGCAACAATTCCAAGTTCAGCAACGTGATTTTCCAGTGAGTATTATTATTGCGCTCTTCACTAATAGCCTTGTCCTGTAATTTTTCCCATCGGTCATAGTACAACTTCCTTTTCTTCTCTTTGGCCAATCTAACGGCCTTGATCTCTAAATCGATGTATTGATCTGGGGGTCTAATGATGTCTATCATTTGTTCATCAATTATGCACACACTGCTAGGTAAAGTCACGCTCTTGCAAACACTAGTGAAAAGGCTGTGAGCAAGTTTGTATACTTTTGTATCGTCAATTTTCAAACAGCGATGAAGGATATCTATATATTTTTGAAGACTAAAGTAATCATTTTGTAATTTGACCTTGATCCGCTTCAAAGCAAAAACCTTCAAAGTATTTTCTGTTTTCTTATGGTCATCCGCTTCCAAAGCTTTGTTGAGACATCTGAAAGCAGTCTTGATAATATGACTATATGAGCCACTCAATCTTTTCATGCCATCTAGTAAAACTCTTTGTGCACTACCGGCAATATTTGAGTAGTTTGAGGCAGAAAGCTTCACTACATCCTCCATCAATATTCTATCCAAATTAGTCTCTGCTCTTGCTGTCGCATGCAATGCTACTCGAGTTTGATGATAAGCTTCCAATCTGGTTGCAATTGCTATACGTGTATACGGCTTTCGAATCCTATTGACTGTTTGAAGATACTGAACATAATTGTAATCAATCTCAGCATTACTAAACGACCCCAATACTCTTTCTCTTCCGACATCTGAGATCCAAACATTTATTGCAAACAAAAGGTTTTTGAATATTCTAGTGTTGTCATCAAAGTTTGATATCAAAAAATTGGTAATAAAATGTAAACTCCTTCCAATTAAATGTCTTGTTTTGTGTATTTTTAGATACAAGTCCCGAGACTTCTTAAACTTGACATCGTTTCCAAAAAAATAATTCGATGTGTATAAGCTTCGCTCTCTGAAGGTAATAGCAGGATTCATACTAGACATGTGAATTCCTTCAACCTTTGGTGTTTCTCGACCATGCGAGTCAAAGTCATGAATCGCAAGATCGGGTCTGCGTGGGGCCGGATGTCTAAAGATTGGTTTTTCTGATGGTGTCGCCTTTCTTGATGTCTCTTTATCTTCTCTAGTATCCTGTTCACCCCCCTCAGATGTTTTGTCGCTGACAATCTCACACATCTTTTCGAAATCGCCAATGTAACCAATAAGATCCTCACTTCTCAAATCCTTCATAATCTGCTCCATATTTCCCCTCACATCTTCATCAAATAAAACGTCCTTTTGAGTGGAGACCCCAGATACTTCCTTTACGCGCTTGAGAAGTAACAACCGCTGTTGAATGGACTCGGTTTCATGGTTCAAATTTGGAATATCTTCTGCAAACGAAGGGTCTAACAAATAGGAAATTCCACTCAACGAGTATGCAAAGTACAAAAGGTTCATGCGTAATTCATCAAGTAGGAATAGTGACGACTTGATCTGATCATTCTCATAGTCCTTGATGAGATTTAAAACATTTTTCAAGCACTTTGTCACGTGATCGTTGAAGAATTCGTAAGCAAATTTAATTTCATTTTCGGTAGGCATAAACCAGTCAAAGTTGGTATTTTGCTCCAGAAATCTTTCCTTTTTGTCCCAAAACCCGCCCCAGCACTCAAAGTTTACTCCTTTTTCTTTCTCAACTTCAGGCGCTATTAACCGGCACTCATTCATCCTGATTTTGGTAACTGTTTGAAGAACTTGATTCACAAAGAAAGTTGAAGCAAAAACACATGGACCTTTGACATGTTCCATTAAAAAGAATGAAAATTCTTTAAGTTCTTTAGACATACTTGTCAACTGCGAGCCCGCGTTTCCTGTGCAATCTTTCAATATTGTCAAGTACCAAAACAATGCTTGATCACGAGGGACAATGTCAACTCCAGTTCGAGAGGCGCCCGCACCATTCTCGTTAATCTCCTCCCTAATCTTGTCCATCAACAATCTAGCTTCTTTTTTGTAGCATTTTGGGTCACGCTTTATCATTCCACCGCATAACTCACCTACTGAACTAGCAACTGTGTGATGAACATTTTTAAATACAAACTCAAATAATTCTTTTCTAAAAATTGCAAAAATGTCATCTGACATCGACTCAAATATCACAAAAAAAAACCTCGGTAAAGACAAGGCTAAACTCCTCTCTAAGCCTGAACTTTTAGAAGGATCAGGCAAGTTTTCAAGAAGTGGAGGTAACCTCTGAGCCAACGCCTTGTATAGCTCTTCAAAAGCAGCAGTAGACGACTTTAGTGCCCTAATCTCATCTTCTGGGTCTACGATAAACTCCTCAATATTGCCTTCATAAAGCTTCTTTCTCAAGTACTCAAGGTGATTCTCAGTGAATTCTAGCGCCGGTAGTGTGTCCATAAACTCATCACTTATATCATAAATGGGCATGTAATTAGATAAAGCCGCAAAAACCTCCAATGTTTGTAAAGTTTTTTCCAAGTCATTTGAGTCTATACCAGGTAGAGCCAACAGAAGCACTCTTGTTACATGAACTCTGAATACTGGTGTCGAGACCAAATGTCTTGATATGGTATCAATTGTGCGTAGGGCATTGATCACGCGGTGGGTTGATAGCACACCTTCCAATGATTCATAGATATCCAATAATGTGTTTTCCAAAACATAATTTGGTTCCAAAAAGGCCAAAAGCTGTAAAGCCGAAAGGTAATCGTCTGAAACATCACCGCGTTTTGATTGTATCCCGATTTTTACCACTGGAAGTAGAATCTTGACAAATGCTTTTGTAACTGTCCTCAGCAATTTTATCTCACTGGGGATGTTGAAAAGGCCGCCATTAATCTCATTTTCCATGTTGTACCTCTTGTGATATTGGTAAATGATTGCAAGAACTAGTCTTGAAATAGCTCGCGTCCACTCACCAGAATTGGATGGATGGATATAACTCTCAATAGCATTCACCAATGTTCTTATAAAATAAATCACTCCATTATCTTCCAATGCCTTGTCGCCAACCATCGAAAAAGTTATAATAGAAGCAAACCCGTGAAAGTACTTCAACTTTCTCGATGCATATTTTTTAGTCATGATACCCAAGCTATTAATAAGTTCATTAAATACAAACTCCATTTGATCGCGAGAAAAAATCCCGAAATTTCCCAAGTTGACAATTTGTCTCGTGTTTGGATCCTCCTCCATTTTTATCAATGTTTCCATGGCTATAATACCCAATCTTGACGATACCTGCTCTTCAAATCCTTTAGTTTTGTTCAACTTGATCCACATGTAGAAAAATGAATTGAGGTAATACCGAATATCGTTTTCATCGCTAGCGCCATTTGACGTGAAAGTGGTAGGTAACAATGTGAGTGACGAAACAGTTAATGCTGAAGTTGAAACGGAGAAATTGCATCCTATTCGCAGGTATATTTTTGACAAGCATGTTTTATCGAAAAAGTATGATGCTTTAGAAGCCAACTTTGCCAACTGTTTCTGATCCTTTTTCTCAAACAACATTGTAGTAGGGTCGACTGTAGGGAACAAATATTGCAACTCTTTGCAAAGACCTTCCCAAGGTAACCTCAAGCCTTGCTCATAAAGAAAACGCTGATCGTTAGTAAGGAGCTCAAAAACTCGCACATATGTTTTCAAGTTAATCTGTTGTCCTCTGCAGAGACATAATGCAAAATATACACGGGCCAAATTTACTCTCAAACTTACTGGCATATCATACTTCATCTTGAGCCATATCAATAGTTCATGAGTCCATGTACGCACACCAACTACTGCTGCAGATTTGGGTGATCTCTTATGCTGCACTGTTGCGTTCTTATCGTTTTCGTCCTCTTCGTCTTCTTCATCTTCCTCTGTATCTGCTTCTCCTTCTTGCTCCTCTGGGGTTTCACCAATGATTGTTTCTTCGTCGGATGAATCAAAATCTTCCGTTAATGGCTCCTCTTCATGAGAATCCAAACTGTTCATTTCAAATAGATTAGTCTCCAATACCAACTCCACGTCTGAGATTGAGTCCTTCAACGCAGCCAAGTCCTTTGCGCTAATGGAAAGCGATCCTTGAATATCCAAAGATTTTATAGCAATATACAAATGCGATACAATATGGCTCAAAAACTTTGCTTGCTCTTGAGGGTTTTCCATTTGATAAGGGAGCAATGAAGGCAAATTCAAAGTTCTTGGTCTAGACCTAGCATAGAATCTTGAATTGGGGTCCAATTGTGCTTTTGCTAGAAGTTTTGGATCATTAGGATAGTCTAGGTTATAGAATTGTTCCCTTGTGATAACGATTGTATTGTACGAGGGACGTCGTGCCGTAACATGTCGTTGCACTGACCCCCATGTACTCAGCGTCAAGGACCTCAAACTATCATTTTCAATCGATTGAGAAAATTGCCCAAATTGCCCAAATTGCCCAAATTGCCCAAATTGCTCTTGCGCAAGTCTTGCTTGAGGCGATACTAAACCCGTATTTGAGGATCTCAAAGGTACAGGAGACGTAACTTGTTGCTGAGATTGACCTTGACCTTTTTTGATCTGCCTACTATATTCTGCTTCTTTACCTTTCTCAAATGGTTTGTCAGCCTCTATGCCTTTCTCAAATGGTTTATCAGCCTCTATGCCTTTCTCAAATGGTTTATCAGCCTCTATGCCTTTCTCAAATGGTTTATCAGCCTCTATGCCTTTCTCAAATGGTTTATCAGCCTCTATGCCTTTCTCAAATGGTTTATCAGCCTCTATGCCTTTCTCAAATGGTTTATCCATTGGCGAATTTGTATGAGACATGATGATTTAGAAAAAAAAAACTTGTATGGTGAAAAAAAATTCCCTCGAGTTGATTTTTTAATTTCTATAAGACGGGAATGGGGGCAATACTCCGGCCGTGGGCGATGGTGTTTGCGATGAGCTTAATTGAAGGGGGAAAAAAGAAATGCCCTTGGCCAAACTTTATTTCAATAGAAAAGACACTATCGAGCAGAGCGACACTATCGAGCAGAGCGACACTATCGAGCAGAGCGACACTATCGAGCGGAGCGAGATAGTGGAGCAACACTCTGTAGCTTGTTACAACACTATCGACACTATCGAGAACGACACTATCGAGAGCGACACTATCGAGCAGAGCGAGATAGTGGAGCAACACTGACTTCTCCGACACCCGTATTATAATTGTATTAATAGGGAACATGTCATTTGGTAGCTTGCAACACTATGGAGCGACACTATCGAGTGACACTATCGAGTGACACTATCGAGCGACACTATCGAGCGGAGCGAGATAGTGGAGCAGCACTGACTAGTGACACTATCGACACTAGAAATAGAAGTAGAGTAGAGGAAGAGAGTAGAGGAGGAGAGTAGAGGAGGAGAGTAGAGAAAGAGAGTAGAGGAGGAGAGTAGAGAAAGAGAGTAGAGGAGGAGAGTAGAAAAAGAGAGTAGAGGAGGAGAGTAGAGAAAGAGAGTAGAGGAGGAGAGTAGGAAAGTAGAGAAACCAGCAGATAATAGGGGAAGCTAATCAGTGCTGCACCACTATCTCGCTCCGCTCGATGTCGCTCGATAGTGTCCACGCTGACACATAAGTTTGATTACTTCTTTCTTGCACATGCGCCTTTGACATTCTTACATTGCGCCTTTGACATTCTCTTACATTTAGAGGAGAAGCCATTGGCTCGTCTACTCTACATTTTTTGTTGAAATCAAACTTCATGTGAATACAACCAATTACGCTCGATAGTGTCGATAGTGCTGCTATCAAGTGCTGCACCACTATCGAGCAGAGCGTTGCTATCAAGTGCTACTCCACTATAGAGCAGAGTGTTGCTATAAAGTGCTGCTCCACTATCTCGCTCTGCTCGATAGTGTCGCTCGATAGTGTCGCTCTTTTTTCTTTTCATTTGGTAGCGACAAATAAATTTTTCAAAAATTGTCTTCTTCCTCATCGCAAAATCTTTTTCAATCTTTTTAATCAACTCAGAGCAAAGGTACATTTCTTGTCCATATTACCTTGTTTCTTTCCTTTTTTTTTCTTGCTCTTCCTCCCACGCTTTCTTGAGATTGAAGTAGTATAAAAGTACAAGTATGTCTGCTGTATCCGCCTCTAAGGCCAAGAGAGAACAAAAACGTTTGGAAAGAGAAGCCAAGAAGGCGGCTGATGGAAAAAGTATCAAAAAGACAAAGAAACAAGCTGAAAAAGATGCGGCTGAAGAAGAAGTAGAAAATGCAAGCGAAAAGATTGCCAAGTTGAAATTACAAACCGATGAGCACGGGTTATCGGATAGAGTCACAACGGGTGTTTTGACTTCTTTGGTAACATCAAGAGATATCAAGATTACATCATTATCGCTTCTTTTCCATGGTAAAGTATTGATCCAGGACTCTACTTTGGAGTTGAATTATGGTCGTAGGTATGGTTTATTGGGAGAAAATGGATGTGGTAAATCAACTTTATTGAAATCTATTGCTGCAAGAGAGCTTCCAATTCCCGAGCATATCGATATTTATTTGTTGAATGAGCCAGCCGAGCCAACCGACTTTTCGGCATTGGAATATGTTGTTAAGGAAGCGGAGCACGAGATGAAGAGATTGGAAGATTTGGTGGAGGACTTGATTATCAAAGAAGGTCCAGAATGTCCTCAATTAGAGGGGATTTACGAAAAGATTGATGAAATGGATCCAGCAACATTTGAATCGAGAGCTGCTATCATTTTAACCGGTTTGGGTTTCAATTCCGTTACTATTAAAAAGAAAACAAGAGATATGTCTGGTGGTTGGAGAATGCGTGTTGCTTTGGCCAAAGCCTTGTTTGTGAAACCAACACTATTATTGTTAGATGACCCAACAGCACATTTAGATTTGGCTGCTTGTGTTTGGTTGGAAGAATACTTGAAGAGATTTGACAGAACATTGATTTTAGTTTCCCACTCTCAAGATTTCCTTAACGGTGTTTGTACCAACATGATAGACATGAGATTGAAACTTTTGACCATGTATGGTGGTAACTATGATTCTTATGTCAAGACAAGAGCTGAATTGGAGACCAACCAAATGAAACAATATGCCAAACAACAAGAAGAAATTGCCCATATAAAGAAATTTATTGCATCAGCTGGTACTTATGCTAATTTGGTGAAGCAAGCAAAATCAAGACAAAAGATTTTGGACAAGATGGAAGCGGACGGTTTAATTCAGCCAGTTGTACCAGATAGGGTATTTTCATTCAGATTCCCTGAGGTTGAAAAATTGCCACCGCCAGTTTTAGCGTTTGATGATATGTCCTTTTCATATTCAGGCAAGGATGAAGATAACCTTTATGAGCACTTGGACATTGGTATTGATATGGATTCGAGAGTTGCCCTTGTTGGACCCAATGGTGTTGGTAAATCAACTTTGTTAAACTTATTCCAAGGAAAATTAACACCACAGAAGGGAAGAGTTATCAAGCACACACACATCAAATTGGGTGTGTATTCGCAACATTCGGCTGATCAATTGGACTTGACACAAACACCATTAGAGTTTGTTCGTGAAAAATTTGCAAATATATCTCAAGATTACCAGTACTGGAGAGGCCAGTTAGGTCGTTATGGTTTGAGTGGCGAAGCTCAAACTGCTCAAATGGCAACATTATCAGAAGGTCAAAGATCTCGTGTTGTGTTTGCGTTATTGGCATTAGAAGCACCAAATTTGATTTTGTTGGATGAACCTACAAATGGATTGGATTTATCGACAATTGACTCTTTAGCAGAAGCTATCAACGCATTCAACGGTGGTGTGGTTGTCGTTTCCCACGATTTCAGATTACTTGACAAAGTGGCAAAGGATATCTTTGTTATTGAGAACAAGACAGCAACTAGATGGGATGGATCTATTCTAGATTATAAGAAATCATTGGCTGAGAAAGTGGTGCTTTGAAGTGGGGTAAATTTATAGAGTAAAATGTAAGAAAGCTTTTGATTTGAATAACACATTTTTTTTGTCCTTTTATCATTGTCTGCGTATACAACAAACAATGGAGGCGAAGTAAAGTAGAATATAGTTGCTCTGTTAATGCTTCGGTGGTATATGTTTTTGAGGAAGCAAGATTATGAGACACAAAAAATAACGGACAGCTTTAAGCTCTGCTGCTTTTCGATATGTAGGTCTGCAAAATAAAAAGTTGCAAAAAATAAAAAACCTACAAAGTTGTTTGTTTGACTTTACACATGAACCTATATCTAAAGGGGTCAATGCATTAAGTCGACTTTTGTCTTTGAAGGTCGGTGGTTTGTTGAAGAAAAAGGAATAACCTGGCAAAAATGACCCAAAAAGTTTAAGCATTGGTTAGGCTCTAGATTTAGGTACTTTTGTGGGTAAGATAATTGGCAAGGGTTTTTCTTTTTCTTTTTTTTTTGCACCCAAATACTTCAAAGAAAAAGATTTTATTGTAAACTGAAACCAAATTTACTAACTGAGAAAGTATTGACAATTTGAAGAAACGGTTTTACATCAGTCTTTTCCTATGACTTTGGGTAGTATCATCTGCACAAATGATTGCATTATGGATGAAGCGAATAAAATAATTATTGTTTATTTTGATACTATTGACCCAAAAATAGTTTCATGAAACTGATCTATTCACTACCACGAAGCAACAGCACAGTTTCTGAAATATGACTTAATGAATTGTAGAAACCTCTTGCAACTATCTTGATGGACCAACTAATGATTAATGGTTTAAAAGGCTTTAGGAAAGAAAAAAAAAAACAAAGTGGACGAGTTAAGAATCGAACTCAAGACCTTTTCCATGCTAAGGAAACGCTCTGCCAACTGAGCTACACGCCCTACTTTCTGTTGGTTTGCCAGACGACTAAAGTTAATATCATACATATAATGCACATTCGGTAAAGTAGAGTGGTTACATCCTCAGTGAGAGAAGATGGTTTTGCGTTTGTATTACATATTTAAACCTTCCATACTCTTTTTATGGCTACTTCTTGAACACCAAAATTACAATGTTGTCATATAGCTTCCCCATTTGTTTGCTTCTATATTTTTCCATTTTACCATGTATTAACTTCCTTACTACTTTATGTCATATTGGCCACATAATTTTAGATACATTTTTTTTTAACCGTGAGCTATAAATGTAATAAGCTTTTTTTGTTTTTTTTTGGCGTAGACAAACTAAAATGTAGTGATACCAGCAAATATTTTTGTTCATTAGCTTACTTTGTTCAGATTTTTGATTGCAAAAAAATTGACACAACTAATAAAAAAAGAAAAAACTGTGAACCTTTGGCCTTGAATTACCCCTGATTTATGTTCTTTTTCGGTCAATAGCAATGTCGTTACAACCAGTCTTTTTTTTCAGACCCGAGAATAAGTTTGTTTGGAACAATTTTTTCCTCTAGTGTAAAATTTCCTATTTGAGTTATAACTAATAGTTTTAAGGAATACACATTTAACATATACTTACATAGTTGAACAAAAACGTCTTACCCTGCTTGCATATTAGATACATCAATTTAGCTGGAAAATTCTTGAATTGAGTAGAATTTGTACCACATTTATTATAGAGGTAAATGTACTATATAGATATTTGCAGCTTGTGTATGCACACAAAAGCTTTTTGGAAATGATTGCAAAAAATAATAGTCAGTGTAATAACTTGAATCATGCATCACACGAGTATCTCCCGCGCTCTTCCCCCCCTTCCCCCCTCCCCATTAGATGCTGTTATCTTCTAGATAATGTATTATTAAAATTGAGAAATTTGCAATTTGATATAAGTTGCAATGGAAATGCAGTGGAAAGGTGAAGTTTACACAGATTAACATCATTGAAAGAAAAACATGTTTTTGCTTCTAGTCTCGCAAATCCACCTCTATTTTGGTATTTCAGAGCCAAATTAAATCAACTAAGCCTTGCTAACGGCAACTAGATTTCTAGATGGCCTTCAAATCACAAAAAAGAAGAGAGAATATTACATTAATATCATTTTCTCTCATACGTTTGATTCTATGTGAAGCGAAACACTTTTCACCTTATCTCCATAAAGTCGAAAATAATTAGTGAGACGATTTATAACTTCGTATCTAAAAATCTCCCCCTCCCACTTTTTAATGCAATTTCTCACCATTACGTTAGTCTAACATATTTATCTATCTATCTATTTATAACACACACACACATACACACACACTCTCCCTCCCTCTATATATATATATATGCATGTAGTAGAATGTTGGAAATACTCTACCACAGTCAAATGTGAAAAAAGTATTGCGCAACCTTAAAATGCCGCGTCAAGTAAAGGTGAGCATTATTCAAGTACCAGATGAAATACACCTAGAAAGCAACTATGGTTGGCGGTACCCAAGTGGTAACTCTACAATAAAGCGGGCCACTATACAAGAAACTGATTCGTCTTGTCCCCAAAGTGAACCCCAAAAGCTTCTTCTGTCTGTTACACAAGATCCTTTTCAGTTACAATCTTCAGAAAAAAACGATGCGATATTCAATACTCTAGAAGTATCTTTAGAAAGTCAACTGCAACTTCATAATGAGAAACGGTTGTTTTCTTGGTTATTTTCCAAAAAAGTCCCGCCTATTCCATCAGAAGATGAAAGAAAAGAATATCCATGGCGTAAGGCGAATCCCTTGAGTAGGTTGATGTTCTGGTGGATTTTCCCAGTATTAAAGAAAGGTTACAAGCGAACATTGGTTCCCGATGATTTGTTCAAGTTGACGCCAGAGTTGAAGGTAGAGTACATGTACGGCAAGTGGGAACGCCACTTGAAGGTAATCATAGAGAAACACAAGAGAAAACACCCCGAATCGGACAAATGGCCGCCCTATGCTATTCCATATGCCTTGTTTTTGACGTTTAAATGGCAATATCTCTTCTCATGCCTTTGTCTCGCATTGGCATTTGTTTGCATATCCTGCTCACCGTTGATAACGCGGCAATTGATTAATTTTGTGGCGTACAGGTACTTTGGGATTTATACAACGGTGAATAGAGGTGTTGGGTTGACACTCGCTTCCATGATACTCATTTTGGTGAATGGATTATTACTCAACCACTTTAATAACAACTCAATGATTTGTGGGGCAAAATCCAAAGCTATCTTAACAAAGGCTTTGTTGATCAAATCTTTTAATCTAAGCGCCAGATCCAAGTATATGTTCCCAGCGGGAAGAATTACTAGTTTGATGAGTATTGATTTAGCAAGAATTGATCTAGCTGTTGGGTTTCAGCCATTGGTGCTATGCTTTCCCATTCCGGTCATAATATCAATTACCATTTTACTAGTGCACATTGGAGTTGCAGCATTAGCTGGAATTGGTCTTTTTGTCGTCTCCTTGGTCGTTTGTGTACTCTTGACTAAAAAGTTGTATACTACTAGAGAAAAGATCATTGAATATACAGATGAGAGGGTGTCCCTTATGAGGGAGATTCTCAATAATCTCAAAATCATCAAGTTTTATGCATGGGAAATGGCATACAAGGCTTCCATTACAAAGGTGCGCAATAAGGAAATAAAATACTTGTTTACAATCAAAGTCTTGAGAAACTTCATCACAGCTTATGCTGTTACTTTGCCAGTATTGTCCTCCATGGTGTCTTTCATAACAATGTGGGCAAGTGGTCCCATGAAGTCCCCAGGTGAAGTTTTCAGTTCATTATCGTTATTTGCAGTTCTAGCACAAGCAATTATGTTGCTTCCTATCGCCCTAGCTACAGGTGCCGATGCATTAATCGGATTTAGAAGGTGTTGCGATTTTCTATCTGCAGAGGAGTTTTCTCAAGAACTAAATGAAAAATTTATTTCTAATGCAAATGATTACTATATCGAGGGTGATGATAAAAGAGCCATTGAAATATCGCATGCTGATTTCAATTGGGAAGACTTTCATGACAAGCTAGATGCAGATCTATGGGATTTGGAAAAAAACAAACGAAGCAATTATCAAGAAAAAGTCACTAGTATTTGCGCTAGTGATGACGATATTTCTAGTAGTACAGCTATAAGCTGTGATGATGATCGTTTTCATGGTTTGATTGATGTGAATCTCACAATAAATGCCAAAGAGTTTGTTATAGTAGTAGGTGGAATAGGGTCAGGAAAAACGTCGCTTTTATATGCATTAGCAGGGTACATGAAATTGTCCAATCCCTCGAGAGGTCTGATTACCAGATACAAGGAGATATTGCTATGTTCGTCGCCGTGGATACAAAACGCCACAGTTCGTGAGAATATCTTGTTTGGCAAGCCGTTTGATATCGAAAAGTACAGAAAGGTACTCTTTGCATGTGCATTGGAGGATGACATTGCAATGTTGCCTACTGGGGACCGAACCGAGATCGGAGAGCGTGGAATCACCCTATCGGGAGGGCAGAAAGCCAGGATCAATCTTGCCAGAGCGTGTTATAGTGACGCTGAGGTTTTACTCTTGGACGATGTGATATCAGCGGTGGACTCAAAAGTTGCGAGACATATTGTGATACATTTATTCAAAGGATTGTTGAAGGACAAGACAATTGTTTTAGCCACTCATCAGTTAGGAATATTGGAGTTTGCTGACAAAGTTGTGTTAATTGATAAAGGAAGAGTGAGAGTGAAAGTCGGTTCTGTACCAGAATTGGTCAAGGACGATATTGATTTAACAAAACTCATCAAAAGCAAACAAGAAGCAGAAGAAATAGAAAAAGAAAGCACAGTAAACTCGGAATTGTACTCAACAGTGAGTAAAAATGAGGGTCTCTCAAAAGTCATCAATGAAGATATGGATCTCACTGGGAGAACTACAACGGACGAGGAAAGAGCAATCAATGCCATCTCATGGGACATATACAAGAAATATATTGAATTGGGATCAGGAATATTTGGACAATTTGCTATTCCAATATTCATTACGGTGATAATTCTTGCTACTTTTTTACAGGTCTTTACAAACACATGGTTATCTTTCTGGATGGAAAATAAACTAAAAGGACACAGTGATCATTTTTATGTTGGCCTATATGTCATGTTTTGTTTCTTAACAGTTATTTTTACTGGATTGGAGTTTATCGTTTTGGCATATATGCAAGATTGTTCATCTAATCAATTGACTTTGAAAGCAGTGAAAAGAATTTTACATGTGCCCATATCGTATATAGATACTACACCGTTGGGCAGAATATTGAATCGATTCACAAAAGACACAGATTCCCTTGATAATGAGATTGGAGAGCAGATGAGATTGTTTATCTTTCCATTTGCTTTGGTTATAGGTGTAATAATTTTGTGCATTTGTTACTTGCCTTACTTTGCAGTGGCAGTTCCGTTCTTGGTAATTGCATTTACAATATTGGTCAACTTCTACCAGGGGTCATCAAGAGAGATCAAGAGATTAGAGGCAACTCAAAGATCTTTGGTGTACAATAACTTTAATGAAACCTTGACCGGTTTGACTACTATTAGATCATTTAGAGCTGAGGCCAATTTCATTGCTAAGAACGATTACTTTTTAAACAAGATGAATGAGGCCTACTTTTTATCCATTGTTAATCAAAGATGGCTATGTGTTCATTTGGATCTTATCACCTCCAGTTTTGCCTTGATTATCTGTATGCTTTGCATCACGGGACAATTCAATATAAATGCACCTTCTACAGGGTTGCTACTCAACTATGTCATGCAATTAGTTGGTATACTATCTTTGGGTGTTAGAGCCATGACTGCAGTGGAGAATGAAATGAATTCTGTGGAGAGATTGTATGAATATGCGTTCAAATTGCCACAGGAGTCTGCCTACACCATTGAAGGCAAGACACCACCATCTGAATGGCCACCGTCAGGGTATGTTTCGTTTAAGGATGTTCATCTCAGATACAGACCAAACTTGCCGTTAGTACTCAAAGGATTGAACATTGACTTTTATCCAGGAGAGAAAGTTGGAATATGCGGCAGAACGGGTGCAGGAAAATCATCCATCATGACAGCTTTGTATAGACTAACGGAATTGGAACAAGGCAAGATTGAGATTGATGGTTTTGATATCTCAAAAATGGGACTATTCGACTTGAGGTCGAAGTTGTCGATCATTCCTCAAGATCCTGTATTGTTCCAAGGTACAATAAGGAAAAATCTAGATCCATTCCAAGAACATGATGACTATACGTTGTGGAGGGCCCTAGCAGGAGCCAGTCTCATTGAAAGGTATCAGATTCCATACTTGTCTACAATGCGGTACCTGATGTCAGCCGGTGTCAGCTACAAAGCCCTCAACAAGTTTCATTTGGACCAAATAGTGGAAGATGACGGCACAAACTTCTCGCTTGGTGAAAAGCAACTTATTGCATTAGCGAGAGCGTTGGTTCGTAATACCAAGATACTAGTATTAGATGAAGCTACGAGTTCTGTTGACTTTGTTACGGATTCCAAGATCCAGGAAACTATACGCAGAGAGTTTAAGAATTGCACGGTTTTGTGTATAGCACATCGATTAAAAACGATTTTGGATTATGATAGGGTTCTAGTGATGGATAAAGGAGCGATTGTAGAGAAAGGAGATCCATGG